AAGCAGACGACAAAAGCAACGTTTTTTCAAGATTTCACATGGGCCGCAGTCCTCGACCAAAATAAAAACTAGTTTTTAATGTGACATTTTATTATTAATTTCTCAATTTAATATTTTGATTTTGGTGGATCCCATGCGGCCACAGTAAAAATTTAAAAAATAACTTCATGTTGTTATTTTTCGTATTTTCACGGAATTTCCGGATCTGTGTTCGGTTTGGATAATACATTCCTTCCTTACAATGACCAAATCTGCCAATGTATTTATAGAAAAATTAACTACGGTTCCCAAGCTTTATATTTATGAATATATCAAACAGAATGAGTTTCGTTTGTATTTTGATTATAGACAGGGCCGCCAGACATAAACTACCGTACTAAGCTCTTTCATACAAAGTTTTTTTTCTTGTAGTAGAATTATTTTTTAATGCTTATATCATATAGGGTAGAAATAGCGGGATCAGAGGACAAGCGCAAGATACCGGTAATAGGTATAAGCCCTTATTGTTTGTTTACTAATTGACAAGCTAGCTAATTATATGGGTCACCTTCCTTGCGAGAAGCCATTAAACTAATTATACCTGAGCTGCTAGTCAGTTTGGAACAGTAAATGACCTATGATTGTTTAAATCTTACAAAATAATATAGATCTGTGGATTACCCAAGCGGGTCTTCCGAAATTGACAAGGTGAAGGTCGATCGATCTTTTTCTCACCCGTATGAAGTAACTCAAGCTTAATGACTCTTACATTTTACATCCTATTCCTTCATAGGCTTAAAAAATTGTTAATAATATAATCACTGGGACTTTGAAATAGTGAAAATTTGATTCGCGTAAATTTGATATACCAGATTTAGGTCCTGATTCGCGGAAAAAACATGACGCGAAAAAAACCTGATATACGGTATATATATATATATATATATATATATATATATATATATATATATATATATATATATATATATATATATATATATATATATATATATATATAAAGCACTAAAAAATCAACACACACTGTATATCCTGAGTGTTAGGATCTACACACACACACACAAGGTCACGGATGGAAATTTATATAAAGCACTAAAAATGACCAACGACACGAACAATAAAAATTGTCAAATTTTCGGGATGCCCTGTCCCTTCCTCAGGACAAAGAAAATAGTTAAAAAGTCATAAGAACAATGGAAAAAGAGAAACAAAAATAACTAGCACTACTACTAAACTACTAAACACTAGATATTTACATACTTAATTACATGTTGAATTGGAAATTTTTAATAACACTAATAAAGAAAGAAATCCGGACCGCTATGAAATGCGTCCGGTCTATCGGGTATACTCGGGTATACTCGGGTGAAGTGGCACTTCACCCGAGTATACCCGATAGACCGGACGCATTTCATAGCGGTCCGGATTTCTTTCTTTATTAGTGTTATTAAAAATTTCCAATTCAACATGTAATTAAGTATGTAAATATCTAGTGTTTAGTAGTTTAGTAGTAGTGCTAGTTATTTTTGTTTCTCTTTTTCCATTGTTCTTATGACTTTTTAACTTTTTTCTTTGTCCTAGGAAGGGACAGGGCGTCCCAAAATTTGACAATTTTTATTGTTCGTGTCGTTGGTCATTTTTAGTGCTTTATATATATATATATATATATATATATATATATATATATATATATATATATATATATGTGGATTTTAACACAGCATCCTTTTAAGAGCTAACAGGTTTGTTATATAAAATTCTCTGTGAATATATATATATATATATATATATATATATAGAAAGCACAGAGATATTCACTTTTACCAGGATACGCACTTCCGCCCCAGCCCGGGGTTGAACTCTCGACCTACGGAATCTGTCTCCTAGCAGTGCAGGAACAGCGCGTTAGACCGCTCGGCTATCTAGGCAAGTTAAAAAACTTGCTTTCGATGCCGATGGAATTCTCACAACGCTGCCCTAAAAATTCCAAGTTTTTGACTTGCCTAGATAGCCGAGCGGTCTAACGCGCTGTTCCTGCACTGCTAGGAGACAGATTCAGTAGGTCGAGAGTTCAACCCAGGGCTGGGGCGGAAGTGAGTATCCTTGTAAAAGTGAATTTTTTCTGTGCTTTCCATATTAATATTCCTTCATATATATGTATATATATATATATATATATATATATATATATATATATATATATATATATATATATATATATATATATATATATAAAGTATTGCATATGTACACTACAAACCTGCATTGCTCTGCTATCAGGTTTTCATTTTCTTTTTGTATTTTTTCTATCCTGAAATTTGTGCAACATTAAACATGACAATCAAATATGAAAAAAACTTTTGATAATGTTCAGAAAAGTGAAGTATCTTAATACGATAATGATAATTTCAGTCTGAAACATTCTTGCAAAATGTAAGTAATAATATAATTTGGAAAATTTGAATATAAAACACATAAATACTTATTGAAGGCGTTTTCGTTTGCTTTTTTCTCCTCTGATAAATTTTTCTGCAGTTTGTCGATGGTTCTCCTCTGTTCCTCAAGGCTTCTACTTAAATCGTTGATCTGATGATTGAGATGTGCATTGTCCACACTAAGGTTTTCATTAGCTCTTGCAAATTCTTCTGTCTGTCTCTTGATTTCATCTGTCATTTTTCTTTAAAATTTCGATAAAAATAAAATGAACTATTGAAATTTTTTCATTAAATCCTTATTTGATTGGGACAAAGACAATACAATACATTTCAAATGTTCGTTCATACAAACGAACAGCATTTTTGACAATTCTTTTTCTTACAAATTGTTGCTTAGAATTAAATAATGTCTTATTATAAAGAATTAGTCTTATAAAGAAAAAAAACTTGATGAAAGTTATATTTTCTTGACTATTTATTTGTCTATCAGACATCCTAAGGGACTTATTATCAAAATGTCGCTCTATTACTACATACTTTACATGGTGCTGAAGTTCTTTCTTTTCTTGTTCCAGTCTCTTTTCAATAGATTTCATGGTTTCTATTTCTGCAGTCAACCTGAAGATCAATTACACTAACATTCGTAAACACCGATATCTCGATGCTCGACATAGATATTTACATTTTATTTACAAACATACAAACATACAAACAATACTAACATTTTAGGGAAGACTTTCCATCAAATAGATTAAATGTTAATGTATAAATATTCATATTTGTTCTAATTTTCTTCTCATTGCAATTTTTTTTTAAGAAAGAAAAAAAAAGAAAAATCACAAAATTATAAAAAAAATTCTGAAAAATCAAATCGAGCATAAAGCAAGTGAATAAAGAATATATTTTAATGTTTATTTAAAGTTTTCACATGGAAATGTTTGTATTCAAAAATGCACCCCTCTTTTATTGCTATAAGATCCTTAGGGTTTCGTCAAAGGTCAGCATGTCCAAAAATTTATTTTTACAATAGCCCCAAAACTATGTGAGGTATAAAGTTAAAACTTTTACAGTTTATTATTTTTTCATTGATTAAGAGATAGAAAGTATCACTCGATAAAAAAAATACTTGGAATATAGAGAAAAAATAAAAATTCATAAATTAAAATACGCCTAATTAATTCCGTGCTCTTAGTGAAAACCATCATTGCAGAAACAAAATATGTTTATCTGTGAAGGGTCAGTTGGACTTGGATAGCCTCTGGAAAGTTGTTTTCCCTGTTTATTTTGTCCAAATGTTAAGACTTGAAAGTGAAAGTACATTGCAAATGGCAGATTCTATAGCGGTCTTGTCTTTATACGAGGGCTGTTCAATAAATAATGTCCTGAACTGTAAGACATACAATACAGATATCATATGACATTAAAATTGGCTTTCTCTCATAATTGAATCTTTAATGAATTTATAACAGTTCAAGTGACCACTTTTCATCACATAGTTTCATTGTGAGGAGCTGGGAAACAAGGGCTTTTCGAGACACTGCATTATAAATGAATGGTAAAGAATCGGTAAACTATGGTGAAAATAAAAGCTTAAACAAAGCTGCTGTAAAACTTGTTAAAAACTCCAAAGATATATTCATTAAAATATGTTACATTTACAGCAACCAATACCTGTTTTATAGACAAATGAGCAGGTGGATTTCAATGATAAAAAAATATATAATGGGCATCCAAAATGGGTACCCTCCTTGCCAACAAAAAATTATAACACTTATGTACTGTTTGCCATATTTCAACAAAAAGTACTTGATGATGTAGTATTGAATTTAAGACAAATAGCAAATTTGATAGACATCACATCGGGGGTGGTTTACACTGTTTTTAAGAAACGTTTGACGGTAAAAAAGCTTAGTGCTCAAAGGTCACCCTATTTTTTTGAAAAATGAGTGAAAACGACAGCGTGTATTAATGTCTGAACAATTATTTTAAAATATCAGTAATTGGAGTAATCTACGTTTTCTGGATATTCAAACAGATAATGGAACTTGAATCTATTACTTAAAATCCTCAAAACAAAATTTACCATAAGATGTACTTGACATAAACAGGGAAGGTCTGGCGAGAGCAAAGAATTGCAAGAGCACAAAGACAGATTTATATGCAATGTTCTTAAATATTAGTGGCATTGTTGTTCAAATTCGTATTCCGGGAGACAGTTTAATTTCTGGATGAGGCTAGAAAACAATTTTTTTGCAAAAAAATCGAAAGGTTTATTAGAGGAAGGAACCAAAATCAGGAATCCACTACATTAAATTTCTTCATGACAGCGTCAAAACCCTCACGCCCTGAAGAGTAAAGGGGTTTTCGGGATACACAGATAGTTGATATTTTTTCACATTTACAATATTCGCCACATCTTTGACCTTTTGACTTATTTCTATTTCCAAACTTGATAAAAACACCTTTGATAAGGAAGAAACAAGTCCTGGGAATCATTGGATCTGCCATTTTCCAGTATACCAAGGGTCATACCCAAAAATGAGTTCTAAAACCAATCATAAATTAGATAAAAAAGGTTAAAGACATGTGTTGTAAGTAAAAGAGATTTATAAGTGAAATAATGAAGACAAAATCATTGTAAAGCGTCTTTTGCTTCTTTCCGAGCACCGAGGACATTATTTATTGAACAGCCCTCGTACATGTCATGCTTTCAATAACAGCCTTTCAGAGACCATTCACGCCCAACTTGCCCTTCAATGATAAACATTTATTATTTCTACAATGTTGGTTTTCACAAAAAGGATAGAATTAAGCAGGAGAATTTTTCTATAAATATGCACATTTTCTGATACAATTTTTCTCAAAAAATCTTTTTTAAAATATTTGTTATAAAGTGATCTATCTATTAAACAATGATATATTTATAAACTGTAAACGTTTTGACTTTATACCACACATAGTTTTGGAGCTAATGTAAAAATAATTTTTTAGACATGTTCACCTTTGACGAAACTTTAATTGCTCTCGGTGAATCATCAATAGTTGCGTCTTTTCATTTATTAATAGTATTAGAATTGAACTATATTTCCAATTAAGAATCACTTGAAAGTCTTTATTTTTAACTTCTTGTACTCCTAATCAAATGACAGCATTTGTCTCATTTTGTAAAGCGAGATCATCGCATCGACAGAGAATACAAGAATAAGACACTTTAATAGGTGATGTCTTTAAGGTAGGATTCTTCTCACATTTCTTGTATTCAAAAATTAATGAAATTTTCACAGAATCAAGAGGACAATATCACTAAGTGATGGTATCAGTGTGATTAAATTTGACCGTTGGATATTAGACGTAAGGTCAGGTCAAGGTCATTACCTTTTTCCTGGACATTAAGAATAAAAAATTACTGTTTCCAATCATGCGAGCCCTAACTTTTAATTCAAAAAATTGAATGTTTTTCTTTTTGCATAAAAAGATACTACCATATAGGGCCTATCAGATGATATAACCAAATTGACATGGGTAGTTTAAATAGAATGGATATTTGCTAATCCGAATTTCCTCTACTTTTCTGAAATTTTTAGGATTTATTAGTTATTTTTATATGCTTTCTATATTAAATTTTTCCAATTTTGACATATAGTAAAGTTGTCACATAAAGGCACAAAATGATACAAAAACTAAGTTTTGATCGTTTACTAAGAGAGAAATAACACTTTTTACGGATTTTTGGCTCAAATCTGTACTTAGATTTGAAGCATTTAAAAGCCAACATAGATCTAGTATGTGTGAAACATCTTATTATTTGATATATTTTGAAACTTTAGTCCCTTATTATTAATTTAACTTACATTTGAAAATTTCGTCTAGTCTTTGATTGCGTAAAAATTATAACTAAATTCAATGTTCCATAATAATTTTGAGAGGCAGAAAAAAGATATTTTCATATGCCATCATTCCGCCAAAAAAAAAGTCCCTGCTAGTTTTTACACGCAGTTTACCATTTCTATTTAAAGTTGATGGTATCAGTGTGATTAAATTTGACCGTTGGATATTAGACGTAAGGTCAGGTCAAGGTCATTACCTTTTTCCTGGACATTAAGAATAAAAAATTACTGTTTCCAATCATGCGAGCCCTAACTTTTAATTCAAAAAATTGAATGTTTTTCTTTTTGCATAAAAAGATACTACCATATAGGGCCTATCAGATGATATAACCAAATTGACATGGGTAGTTTAAATAGAATGGATATTTGCTAATCCGAATTTCCTCTACTTTTCTGAAATTTTTAGGATTTATTAGTTATTTTTATATGCTTTCTATATTAAATTTTTCCAATTTTGACATATAGTAAAGTTGTCACATAAAGGCACAAAATGATACAAAAACTAAGTTTTGATCGTTTACTAAGAGAGAAATAACACTTTTTACGGATTTTTGGCTCAAATCTGTACTTAGATTTGAAGCATTTAAAAGCCAACATCGTTCTAGTATGTGTGAAAAATCTTATTCATTTGATATATTTTGAAACTTTAGTCCCTTGCTATTAATTTAACTTACATTTGAAAATTCGTCTAGTCTTTGATTGCGTAAAAATTATAACTAAATTCAATGTTCTATAATAATTTTTAGAGACAGAAAAAAGATATTTTCATACGCCACCATTCCGCCAAAAATATAGTTCCTGCTAGTTTTCAAACGCACTTTACCATTTCTATTTAAAGTTGTATAATTGTGATGAGGAAAGAAAAATATGGTCTTTTAAATCTCTTACATCTAAATATGTAAGACATATCAACAAGTGTACTTTGAATATTCCATCTAGTCAGAAACCAGAGAAGAATCCTACCTTAAGTCATCCTTTTTTCTTCTGAAATTGTGGTCTTTTCAACGAAGCAAAATCGGAATATGAAACGATGTAACAGTTCTTGAACACCTAGGATTTTTTCTGCTTTGCACCATTTTACCGAGGATAGGACTATATAATACTCTGTTTAGTGTACCGATTTTAAATTATGAAATTATGACCTGCAATGCGCAGGGCAAAGAAATATAAGCACACTCTCCTGAACTCCATAGACCAGGATCATGAAACAGATTTATAGACTTAGGTCAAATTTTCAAAAGTCTGTAAATTTTTTATTAATTACTCAACTAATCTCAAAATTTGCAAATAACAACACTTTTGTAAATCAATATCAAAGCATATATTTATTTTGATGTGCTTGACCTATACACCTTTTAAATATAATATAAAGATTTTGACTTAAGCTTAATATCTTTTATGATCCCGGGGCCTGCATCCTAAGTAACATGTTATAGTAGAGTAAAAGTTGTAACACTTTTGACTAAGAACAACCTAGAGAAACAACTCCTTTTACTGTCCACCCATGAAACAGATGCTTGAAATTTTAGTACATACTTCGTTGAGGCATGCAATATGATGGGGTTTATTTTTATATGAATCTGATGTCAAATTCCTATTTATCCGTTTATTTACATATATTATATATTTACATTAGAGTGGGGGTTTTACTAGTGAGCAATGGCTCACAGATTTCTTGTTACTGCTATTTTATTTTTCCTGTCCTAGACATAGGGCTAAGATTTTTTTTTTTACATTTCCCAGAAGATGGAACACTGATCCTTTTTCTAAATAAAATTAAATCTCTAATTTCA